AATCTTTTAATACTGCTTATTCAGACTTTAATATTCAAAAAACAGCAGAAAATTTAAAAAAAAATTTTAAAGAAAAAGTAGCTTTTTGTTGTGAATATCTTTTTGCCAAACAATATACAAAATTGAAAGAACACCAAAGATATTGTGATAAATGTTATCAAAAGTTAAATGAGTTAACTCTTGCTAAAGAAAATATTATAGAAGTAATAGAGTTATCAGAAGAAACTGCTATTATAGAACCTATAGAAATAAGTAAGAACACTATTTTTGAAGAAAGGAAGGATAAAAAAATAATAAAAAAGACCAAATTATTGCTAGACTGGAAGCCAGAATTCAATATCTAGAAGACAATTTTGAAAAGATGTTGGAATTTTTTTAAGATTAAATAACTTATCACCAAGAATAAGCAAATTATTACTTTCATTTGGCCTTTGCATTTCAAGATTTTTGAATTATCTTATGCAAAATCAAAAACTATCTGACTCAGAAAATTTAAAAGACTCAGAAGATCCAAAAGATTCAAAAGACCAAAAAGACATAGAAGACAAAGAAATTAAAAAATTATTACTTAAAAAAAAATTACTAACAGAAAAAGAAGCTTTGCAACAGGCTTTGCAAAAAAATGCATTGAAGAAAAAGCATATATATATAATAGATACTCTAATATCATATGAGAAATATGCTTTAGAAAAAACAAATACTGTAAATGTAGGACCACTTACTAAAGAACAAGAATAACTGTTCAAAAACTTATTAGAAAAATTTGCTAATTTATTTGCTAAAAATATTGCAAAACTTGGCAGAACAGATAAAGTTAAACATTGCATCTATACAAAAGATGTATCATCTGTTAAATTATGCCTTTACAACATGTTTCTAGATGAGCAGAACTTTATCAAAAAAAAATTAAATGAATGCTAGAAAGTAATATAATTTAATTATCTGAAAGCTCTTGGGCATCATTTGTTGTTCTAGTATGAAAGAAAAATAAAAAGTTGAAATTTTGTATAGATTACAAAAAACTTAATAATGTTACTAAAAAGGATGCTTATTTTTTTATCAAAAATACAAAAAATGTTAAATGCCTTATTTGGATTACAATAGTTCTCAACTTTAGACTTAACTAGTAGTTACTGGCAAGTTATGATGAATCCAAAAGATAGGGAAAAAACTGCATTTATTATAAAATATAGCACTTATGAATTTAATATAATGCCATTTGAATTATGCAATGCACTAGCAATATTTCAATGACTCATGAACAGAATATATAAAGGAATTGTGTAAAATTTGTTGTTATCTATCTTGATAATACTAATGTATACTTAAAAACATTTGAGAATTATTTAAAACATTTAAGAATAGTGTTTCAACAGATTAAAGAAGCTGAATTAAAGGTTGTCAACCTCTCAAGTGATAAGTTGGATGTTTAAATCCTATCGATAACAAAAATTTAAATAATCACCTATGTAATATTTATAATACAGCAACTGTTAATAATGATTAGGTTAGAATATCTGTAATGGCAATCATACCAGTATGACTGGCAGGTTATAAGGCATCTGTGTAAGTATAGTATTACACAAAGAAATACAAACTGACAAATCAGATAGTGCAAATACTAAATAAGTTCTTGTGGCTATGTAAATCTGTTAAAATTAGGTAACAAGAAGTTCATTTGGAAAGACCTGAATAGAAAGGTAGCTGGATCTTCAATGGCTTTATTGTAAAGGCTAGCCTAGTGAAACAGATACCAAGGTTATAGTACCTAGTCATAGTAGTCAGATAGACAAAAACCTCTAAATTGGAAATCTTAAGAGTACCATCAATTAGGCTGCCAAAATGAACCAGAAGAAAAGAATATCAGGCTGACCTGATATACCAATGGACTGATCATAGTCCTCTATAGGCTATCTGAATTAGGAGTTTGATAAAAAGACAGGTAAAAAGACAAAAGTATATTAAAGTATTGGAATTATGCTGTGAAGTAGATGCTAGGATCCAAGTAAACTTTACAAAAGCATAGTGATTTAATGGTTAAGCCCTGACTACAAGTGTTGGTTCTGCCATAGTGATATCTAGATCAGTTGTAAAAATAGATACAGAAGGCTCTAGAGGGTTTACCTCAAGGATAAATTAGTTCTAAAGTTAAGATAATGATCTGAGTATCTGAGTATAACCTAGTAAGTTAATACAGATTACAGGTTTAGAAAGTTTAAAATAGAACACCCAAGCAAAGGTATTAGGTATAGCAATTAGTAGAGAACCTTCAAGCAGACTTCTTAAATAAGTAATATAGGAAAATTATATATGTAGCCAATTGTATACTCTCCTGTAGTGGTTAATTGAATCACAATACCAATAAGTAATTAATAAAAGTCAAAAGACCAAAAAGGTTATTTTAAAAAAAAAAAAAAAAAACTAAATTAAAACTTAATCTTAACAAGTGCAATTTTGGAATAAAATTATTACTCTTCTTAGAACATACTATTAGCTTAAAAGAAATAGTCCCAGACTCTGCAAAAATTAATGCTATACAAAAGATTCAATCTTCTAAAAACACTACTAAATTAAGATCTTTTCTTGATTAAACTAAATACTATAAATAATTTATTTGAAATTTTTCAGCAATAGTCTAATCTCTAAACAAACTCTTATATAAAGATAAACCTTATCATTGAGAAAGTAAACAACAATAAGCTTTTAAATTATTTAAAAAAAAGCTTGTTACTGCACTTATATTAGCTTATTCTGATTTTAGCAAAAGATTTATACTTGCTACAGATGCTTTATATTATGGCTTTGGAGCTACATTAAGCCAAAAAAATAGAAATATATAATAAAGAACATCCTATTGCTTATGTTAGTAAAAGTTTGTTACTTTAAGAGCAAAATTATTTTGCTACAAAATTAAAATATGCTGCAATAATATGGACTATTAAACATTTTTATAGTTATCTAGAAGCTACAGAATTTACTCCAATAACTGATCATTTAGCATTAAAATGACTTAAAACTATAAAACTCAAAGAATGTATTAGATGCTGAATTTTGAAACTTTAATCTTATTACTTTACAATTATTTATAAACTAGATAGAATTCACTCTAATGTGAATGCTCTCTCAAAACTTTAATATAAAAATTTAAATAATAAACTTATATCAATATTACAATCTATTTAATTATTTAAATTCTAACACTATACCTCTAAACTTTACTACTTATTAACAAAAACAACTTACTAATCAGGCTAAATATTTTATGATTCAAAATGAACTTTTGTATAAAAAAAACAAAAAATCTATAGACAAACTATTTAGAGTTATTAAATGAACAAAAGTAGATCTTATTTTAATATGATGCATAGTTATCCTACTGCAGAACATTTAGAAATAGATGTCATATATCATAAGACTCAGAAAGATATTATTAAGATTAAATGTATAAAGACATTAAAAAATAAATAAAGACTTGTGATTAATGTCAAAGAAGAGGCAAAGCTAGAAAAAAAGAACCTTTACATCCTATTAAGATAGGACAAGCTTTTAAAAAAATTAAAATTGACTTAGTTGGACTATTACTTATCACTACTTACAATAATAGATACATTATTGTTGCAACAGACTATTTAACCTAATGGTCAAAAGCTCAAAATATGCTAAATGCAAGTGCTTTAACTTTTGCAAAATTTATCTTTACAAAAATAGTTTGTAAACATGAAATATCTAAGATTATTTTTTCAGACCAAGGACCTAACTTTTGAAGTAAAATAATTTGAATTCTATATAAAAACTTTTTTATAAACATAAATTTTTATCATTATATTATCTACAAACAAATGGCACAATAAAAAGACTAAATAGAACATTGTATAAATCATTAGCAAAAGTAGAAACTAGTAAAGATTAGAATATAAATTTTTCTGCTATACTTTTTGCTTATTGAACTAAGAAGCATGCTATTACAAAATATACATCTTTTCAGCTAACTTATAGAAGACAAGCAGTATTATTTGTAGAATTAATTTTGTCAATAAAAGAAACCAATGCAGAAATAAACTTGGAAGATAGTATTTTGTTATAAGCTTTTGACTTAATAGACAAACTACCAGAAGCACAAAAACAAGCCAGACAAAATACAGAAGCATCACAAGAAAAACAAAAAGAAAGACATAACAGAAGACCAAAACCAGAAGAATTTAAAGTTGGTGATAAAGTTTTAATTTAATAAAGAATCTAAAAGCCTTATGCTCTGCAAAGTTTGAAGATAAAAGAACTGAACTATTTACTATTTATGCTAAAATAGTAAATAATGCTTATCAACTTTGCAACAACAAGAGACAAATTTTACAAAGATACTATAATAGTAATCATTTAGAATAATATCATAAAAAACAAATCTGGAAACTACAAGTAGAGTTTGGAACTGAATTTATTTTTTAAATCCAAGTTTATTTAATTAGTGATCTTCAGCTTCAGATTTAAATCCGAATTGTTGAATCGATATCCAGATATAACCTGCATGCATATCATTAACCAATAAGACTATGCTTGCAAACTACTATATCTAATATCTGATATAACATTGTATGCCCTCATAAATTTTAAAAAAGCATTTTACAACCGTTGATCAAAGGAATTAGTTTATTTGAACAAAGCGGTTAGTTTTATTATTAAAACTAAAATTTTAATTAAGAGCTTTAGCTTTAATTTACAATTTTCAAATTATATTTTTTTTATTCTAGTTAAAAGCTAGGTTAAACTTATTAAAATTCAAGCAAGAAAAAAATCTATTTATTAGCCTCTAAAGGTGAAAACATAGGAAAGTATATAGTATTATATTTCAAAAATAGAATATTATTTACTAAGTTAGATGCTAATCATGTTCTTCTTGCTGAAATATGATTGCCAGCATCAGAAAAGAGCCGTTTACTAGGAATGGAAGTAGCAAGTATCAAAAGATACTTGCGTGCTAACTGTAATAAAAATGGATAGCTTACCTGATGCTCTTGCCACCAAATTAAAAGATCAATATTTCTTGATTCATCTGGATAGCACAAATAGTGAGTAACTTTATCTTGTACTTGTGTTTGATTATTATCCTACATTTTTGCAAATATATTTTTAGCATTATCATTATTCAGATTTACTGCAACTGAAGTATTCACTTCAATATTTTCACCATTTACTGAATTTTGCTTAAGTTGAGTATGTAAGCTTCTTAAGAGAAACTCAGCATATGCTAATTATTGTACTTAGTCCAAACTATCAGCAAAAGAAAAATTCTTCATTCGAGAATCTAAAATCATCGCAATTAAGAATATTTCTAATGGTATTTCCCAAAGTTTTTTCAAAGAGAGATATATGGCTGCACGGACCTTTTTGATAAGGTTTTGTGTACATGCTGATAGCAAACACTCAATTTGACTAACATCTACATTTTCATTTTTTTTAGTTGTATGCTTACGATTTTGATCTTGACCTTGATTTAAATATAAGGATAGAAAACAATAACTAATATATTAGTTATTTTTTTGTTTGACTTACTAAAATACTATATAATTAATGATTTGATTATCAATAATAACATAGTTATTCAACAATTAATTGACAATTAGCTAATTAATTATACAATATTTTGGTTAGTTAATTAATAATTAGGTCAAACCAATTTGATTCATGGTTTATATTATATCCCATTTGCAAGTGAGAGGGAAAGGATAAGGTAAGAGGTAAGTTTATAATAAAGTTTTAAAAAAGTTTTTTTTTCAAAATAATCGAATTTTTTTTCACTAAAAGGACAAGAGGGTAATGTAAACCACCGAATCAAGTTTGTCTGGCTTTATAGTTACTGATTAGTTAATTAAAAAAATTTTAACTAATTTTCAATCTTTACCTCGATCTCGGTCTCTACTTCATCTTCATGTATTTTTTACCTGTTTCTTAAATTGTTGATAGGCATGTTTCAAATGTCACTTATTTTCAGCAGTTGGAATATCATTATCATCACTTGTAGAGCTTGAGTCGTCATCTTCAGTACTTTCTAAAATATCATCTTTTGTTAAAGGGCTGTAAATAAGATCCAAGTAACTATCAACAGTTTCATTCTCTTCAATTTTTGGTGCAAATATTTGTTTTAATATGTATATACATGGATATACTAAATTAAGTATTGGATATGTGGTGCCTGACAATCATCGTGTTAAGGCTTCAAATGGTTCTAATAATTTGATCATTTCTTCAACAAAACTATATACAAATAAAGTAAATAATTAGTAATTTTTAAATTTAAAATTATAAAATGTTTAGTCATTCCCAATTTACTAATAATGCTCTTGAGTGATTTGTTAGTGATTGAGATATAGTACTATTGAAATGATTTCTATAAAAGTATAGGTTTTGACCAATATCAGAGTAATAAAAAAGATAGCTGCTACATTTATATTAAAATACAGTCATGCCTATATCGGTCAAATTTGGTTCTATAGAGAAAATTGTTCAAGATGCTATATATTGTATACAGCATAATGGCAGAATTTAAATTGAAAAAATTAGTTATAGACCAAAAAAAAAAATTATATACTAGTATATATGTATATATATAATACTTATCGCTTCTAATTAGTTACTAAAGTTGTCTCGTGCTCACATGTTCAACCATGATCATTGATCATGCTGTGGTGTTAAATATCATATGATGAATTTATATTTAAAATAAGCATAAAAAAAAAGTAGTTAACTCTTTCTAAATACTGAAATACAGTAAATAAGTATTGTAATAAAACCAGAAGCTTTCTTTACCTTTGTGTCCTATATTGATCTATCAATATTCATCTTTATGGTTATTGAGAGCCGTGATACAGTATACAATTTTTTAAATAACATGAGGCTTTACTTTTTTTTTTTTTGTCTATATAGCAATTTCTGAATCTGGGTTCTAACTCTAAATCTCTAATCATCTATCAGGAATGACCAAAAGTAGTAGGATATTACAACAATTACACTAATGAATTATCAAAACATAACTATGTATATTGATAATTCATAAAATATGAAGCCGTATAAACTAAAAATATGTAATTATATAATCATAATAAATAATAACAATAAAAAGTAATTACGCTATTTTTCAGGTATTAAACATAATTGGCCTAATTTTTCTCCTTCTTTTTGAGATGCATGATCTTGTTTTACTAATAATGATATTGAAACCAAACATATAAAATTGTGTAATTCGAGAAGCCTTTTTCATGCTATAAAGGTAGAGTTCTACCTAGTTTTAGTATTAAGCAAAACATCTAAAGGACTTATTGATACTTCAACATTTTCAACATTTTCAGCTAGATAATTATTATATTGTGCCTCCCTTAAACTTTGTGCTTGTTTTGGTGATTTAAAAAATAATTGTAAACTTTTAATTTGTCTATGTATATGCTTACATTGTTTTAAACCCTCATGTACAGATAATTGTAATGTGTAAGCTGCACAAGGTTGTCTTTCAATAGAAGACAAAGTATCATTAAGAAGACAGATTGCTTTCACCATGTTTGCACCATTGTCCATGGCAATAGTAAAAACTTTATCAGTAATATGCCACTGTTAAATAACATGATACAACTCATTACTGATAATTTCACCAGTATGCGGATGATCAAGAATGTTACAAGTTAATAAAACTTCTCGAAATGTAAAATCAGGGGCAAGCCAGGTGGCTGTTACTCCAATATATCCATAATTACTTTTGGCTGTCTAAAGGTCAGTTGTTAAATGAATCGAGATAGCTGTATCATTAAGTAAATTATTTAATTGATCTGTACTCTACAAATATGCTTTATGTATCAATTTCCGAGCTGTTTTATTACATGGTATATGAAATCTGGGCTCACAACCATATAAAGGCTCTACAAACTTGACTATAAATTTAATTAAAAGTCGCAAAAGCTCTTTTTGACGAGTCTTGCTATATTGAGGAACAAATATTTGATGTTCTTTTGGCTAATTTAAATAAAGAAAATTTTTTTGTTATAATAAATAATTAAGTTTTTTTTTATATACACATTTTCTTAATCTTACTTCATTATTCGCATCCAAATAATTATGATAATTATAGATTGTTATGCCATGTCTTTCACATAAATAATTAGCAAGATTTGAGGTCGTGCCTTCTTTACAACTATAGGGATAGGGTTTTTTTTGGGTACCAACAAGGTTTCGCACACATGTTTTACAGTATGCTATATTATTATCCTCAGAGTCTTTGTTAAAAAAGTAGGATGTATGACTTTTATTAATTCTATTGCCTTTGATACTTTTACCTAAATTATTTTTATGTTTCTTGCGATTTTTTAAAGGAATAGGATTCATAGAAGCAGATGTTTCAGCTTCTGAGAATGAAGTTGGTTCATTGATATTAAGGTCAAAAGAAGGAACAGATGAAGATGCCATTTTTTTTTTATTCAAACACTTATTTTATTACATTTATTTATACCTTACTAATTATCTAATAATAATGTTATACGAATCTTAGTTCTCTATGAGAACTATTGTGAAGATGTAAAGCAAAAATAATTGCTTCCTGAAAATAGATTAGTATAATGTTTAGCTCTCACAGAGTACTATAGTAATAGTAAATACATTACAGGATATGACAAGTGCATAAGGCTTAAAAATGTATGTTATAATTTATTATTTCATGCATAAGCTTTAGCTCTTGCAAAAATTATAAGGCATTACGAGGGCGTAAAGCTTTGATTTCATTACTTTTCATGCGAACTTTAGTTTTTTCAGAGAACAAATACATTATAGTTTATTGTGATGATGCCCGAAAATTAAAATTTATTGCTTCTTACATAAACTTTAGTCCTCATAAAGAACTAGATTACAAGCAATCATGAGGATGTATAAATCAACAATAAGTTACAATATATTGTTTTACATATGGATTTTAGTTCTCTGCAAGAATAGATATTAATGTATCGATGTGTAATACTCAGTCTTTTTGAGAACGAAGTAATATTTTTCTGAAGGACAATGTATATACGTAGTACAAATCATTGTTGATCACATAGTGTTGCAGATTCGGTAAATTTGATTTTATATTCAGATTTAATCTAAATCCGAAGAAAATCGGATTTAAATCTGAATACTGAATCAAGTTTCAAACTCTAACTACAAGTTGTTATTAAAACTGTGTTCTATAAAACCTAACATTTTATTATTACTTTTATAAACATTATTTATTTACTTATTATTTATTATTATCTTATCAATTATTATTTATTAATTATAAAAACTTAGTACAAAAATTTAAAAAAAAAAATAATAATATCGATTATATTTAATATAAAATTTTTATTATTATTATTATTACTATTTATAAAATATTACAAAAATATTTTTGGTTCTTATTTTTTCTTAACCTTCTTCACAACTACTAAATCTTATCTTTAAATTTGCAATTCAAACTCATAGTAAATTTTTTTTTGTAACTATCTGCTATGAATAGTGCTTCATTGCTATTCTTGTTAAATTATTTTGAAATTTGATAAAGTTCTTTTACTTGCTTTAGCTTTCAAATTTGTAATTTGATTTTGGAAAGAGGACAAATAAACAAAAATTGCTTGATTTTTGCTTTGGCAAGGCATCTATAAAGCAAAAAGTTAAAATATATATTTTAAATGATATACTTAAAACAACAAAAAAAAATATTAATAAAACAACTCTCTCTACTGATCCTCAATTCCAAAACAAGAAAAAACAAAATACAAAAATAACAGAAAAACAGACTAGCAAACACTTTTTGGATAACTAACAAAAAAGCTATAGCAAAAGAAAATACATATAATATAGTAAAGATTAGAAAACAAAAGAAGCTGCACTAAGATATTAATAAGAAACAGCAATATTTTCAACAAAAAAGTAAAAATTTTTGAAAAATTGGTATTATCCTAAAAAAACAGAAAACAAAATACATGATAACTGTAGCAACAACAAATAACAACAAACAAATGAGTCTTGTATCTAATTAGAAAATATCAAGCATTATTATAAAACTAGTAACATAGTACTAACAACATACTAACAAATATTACAAAGTTTAATTCTAGATACTGATTAGCCTAAAAGAAAGATCTCGATCCAATTATTAGAATATAAACCAATGAATGAAAATTGCAATGCAGATATTATATCCTATATTAGAGAAATAGGAGTTAGAAATTGAAGACATATAGACTGTAAAATTCTAGACCAAGTTCTCAAAACTTCTATACAGAACCCAAGTAATATAGAACATATTGCTAAAGAATTAGCAATATATGACCTAAAACATATTATATCTTATAATATGTTAGTATATAATTAAATACTAGAAATATTAAGAATAGCAAAAACAAGCTAGCTTAAAAAAAAGATAATCGATGAGTAAGCAGAAAAGCTTAAGTCAATAAGCTTTAATTCAGACTCTTTTGAATATAACACAAACATAAACACAAACAAAAAACTAATATGTTAAGAAAAAAGAAGAAAAATGATGAGCATAGACTGAAAATATTAAAAAAACAAATAAAAAGTCTCAGCATTACTATATTACATCATTAAATAAGTTAAATGGTCAATGAATCTGGAATGCTAAAAAGTAACATAGTTCAGAAAATAGAAAAAAACAGTAAAGACACAAACATGGAATTAGAAGAACAAAAAAAAGAACCAACTGATAAAGAAACCAGTATTTTATTTTCTGCAAGTACAATTGAGCATAGTCAATGGTCTCCAAAAAACAGAATATGCAACAAAAACAAATCTTTTAAGGCAAATATGCCAACTTACACTTTATTAGATGAATCTAAAAAAGAAAGAGTAAAGTATGTTCAGTGAATTCTAGAAAATAACCATCATATAAAAACAATCAAAGAAGTATTTAAAAATAGAAACAATTAGATAAAAGTGGATTTTGATTATGAACATAGCAAAGATGTAACAATAGACAAAATCAGGAAAAAAGAAGGTGAATGGCTTAAACTTATTCCAGAAAAAAATAAGAATAAAAGTCAAGAAGCAGAGTAGCAAGAAAAACATAATACTAAAAAAAGAGAAGAAAAAGATATAAAACAAACAAAAAAAAATAAAGAACCAAGAAGAACAAGAGAAATTAAAAAACAAGAAAAAGAAAAAAAAGAAAAAAGATACTATGAAGAAAAGCATTGTAATAGAAAATAACAAAGACAAAGAAAAGAAATTGCAAGAAGAAAAATAGTTAATTATATAAGATATTATCAAATATTAATAAAAAAGAAATCAAATATATGTGCAGAAAATTTAAAAACTTAAATATTATATGAGTTAAGAAATCATCATACAAGACATTGGCAGTAATAGTAGCAAGCTTGGAGAAAGAAGAAAATATTCTATGAGTACTGCCACTTGGCAACAACAAACTAGTACATATAACAATTGAAGATGAAGATTATGAACAAAGAGACAAGCAAGGACAGTATACAGCTAAATTGTTAAACATTTCAAAAAGAATCTCAAAAGTGCTTCTTTTATGATGCCTAAAAAACAAAAGTGCAAAAGCAGTATACATCCTATATAACAAAAATAGAAATCAAAAGAAGTTTGTAATAATTACTTTTGCAAATGCTGTAGCAGTAGAAAAAGCTCAATCAACACCAATATAGTACAATAATCACCAAGTAAGTTGGGAAAATTCTAGAAGAAGAAAAGAACAAAAAAGAAATGAATCAAAAGAAAGAAACAAGAAAGATCAAAATTAGATAGCAAATGACAAAAGGTGTTAAGAATCAGAAACATAATTCAAGAAAAGCCAAATAAAAGATATGGTAAGATAAGTTTAGACCCTTAGATACAAAATATAGAAAAATGGTTAGGAAACAGAAATACCAAAATAGAAGTAAAAGAAGATGACCTAAAGAAATTGAAAACTAAAGCAGTTCTGCAAGATTAAGCAAGAACTATACAAGTAGAAGATGTTTTGTATCAAATTTTGAATAGACTAGACAAAATAGAAGAAATGCAGCTAGGTACAAGAAGAGGCCTAGCTGATCACCCCTAAAGGTGCCACAGTTGAACTAATGAATATAAACAAGAAAATTAAAGAGTTTTTGCAAATTGAAAGAGAGGTGTTTAAGAAAAAAAGAGAAGTAGAAATTTCTTATCAAGAAGAAGAATTACACAATAGAAAAAAAGAAGAACTTAAAAATACAGAGACAAAACACAGATCACTAAAAGAAAGATAGAAAAAAGGAAATAAGGAAATAAAACTAGTATGTTACAATGTGAATAGACTTAAGACCAAAGGTTGGAAATTGAAAAATCTGCTTGGCTGGGCAGAAAAAGAGGAAATTACAATATTAGAAATTACAGAAACAAATCTTACAGAAAGAGAAGAAAAGTTTCTAACATATGTGATAGACAAAAGATATGTAAAGTTTTGGACAAATGCAGTTGAAGATAAGAAGAAAGGTTCAGACATTGGAATTATAATCAATAAACAATAGGAAAAGCATATAGGAGCAGTTAAAAAATAAGCGAATATATGATAGAGATTATACTATACTTCAAACAATTAGAATTAGTTGTAATTACAGCATATATACCACCAAATAATAAGATAATAGAGAAAAACATTCAACAAGAAATTGTAGAAATAATTTTAAAGAGGAAGAGACAAATACAAATTATCATAATAGGTAATTTTAATTACACAGTAGACAATATCCTAGACAGATAACATCCACAAACAACAAACTACAAAAGGTTGCCAATTTTTAATTAAATAAAGAAACAAGACTTTAAAGACACATATAGAGACATGAACAATAGGTTGACAATACATGTGGTCAAATAAAGAAGCAGCAACAAGAATTGACTATATATGTATATCAGATGTTTTAGTCTCAGGTTTACAAAAGGCATAAATCAAAGAGGTAAAAGAAATCATAGAGAGTGATTACAAAATAGTAATAGCAGAAATATGGATCAAACATATAATAGCAGTTAAAAGCAAAACAGAGATTAAAAAAAGGAGGCAGTCAAGAA